TGCAGGGCCCCTTGTTATAAAATGATTAAGGATTTCGCCCGACCAGTGTGGATCAGTGGTTGAGCGTCGACCCAGGCACCAAGAAGTCGTTGGTTCGATTCCCGGTCAGGCCACATGCCCAGGTTGTGGGCGGATCCCCAGTGGGCGGCATGCAGGAGGCAGCCAATCGGTGTTCTCTCTCATTGATGTTTCTATCTCTCTCTCCCTCTCCCTTCCTCTCTCTCTCAAACTAATAAAGACAAATATTTTTAGAAAATGATTAAGGATTTCAAGTGCAGGGCCTTCTAAGCACAGAGGCCTCTGTGACTGCGCAGGTTGAATGCTGGTGGAATCATCCTTGCTCCCAGGACTAAAGGGGGGGCCATCTGTCCACCAGTCCTTCCATCTGTCCAGTTTGATGATCCACCTCTCTGTGCCTGCCAGGGCTCTCAGGGGCTCAGTGAACCTCCGGGGTCACTGTGCTACTCGTTTGCCCTCACTCCATTTTAAATAAAAGGAAATTATGGCCAGAATGGAGGAGACGCATGACCAAAGGCTCTATGGTTCACAAAACTACCCAGGGGGGTTCCTACCACTTGTTGAGATGCTGACGCTCCTCTTCAACCCAAACTCTGCCCTGTGGCCTCACCCCAGGGGGAGCTGGAGCCCGAGCCTGCACAGCAGAGGTGGGTGGTGAAGATACAACCCGTGGAGGGGAAGAGGTCCCGCAGGCTGGGTCCTGGGCTCAGTGCTATCGCCGACGGATCTGTATAATCCGAGGTACATCCTCCCCCTCCCTGGGCCTCGGTTTTCCACTCATACAATAAGGAAGTTGAACTGGTGACTTTCAGGAACAGTCTGACCCCCTGGCCTTGCTGCCTCCACCTCCCAAGGGACAACCCTTTCCATCACAGGGCGGAGAGGCTGGTACCTCTTGCAGATGAAAGGTTTCAGGCACCTGAGACATCAAATAGCCCTGATCTGAAGTGAGGTGAAGAGAAGGTATTAATGCAGCTCAAGCAATACACTTTGATTTTCAACCACCAGCACTAGACTGGGGGCGGGGTATCCAGAAAGCATCTGGGAAGGGGGGTGGTCCTGGGGTCTGGGCCTGAGGGTTCAGGAAGCCCTTTTGCCTGAGGGCTCTGGGCCTGAAGTTTTAGGAGGGACTTGAGGTGGATTTCCACACTGGAATCAACAAGTGTGAGTCCCACACCCCCTCTGCACCCATTCTCTCGCCTCTGGACCTCATCCTCTGTCCATCCACCATGGGCCAAAGCCTTGCTTCTTCTTGAAATCAGAGCATATGAGGTTAAAAAAGGCCAGCAGCATTGGAAAGGACCTAAAGAGTCACAGCATCCACACACACCTAACAGGCACCCCTCCTGACCCTTCTTCTCAGTATCCCAGGAAAACAGGCACACGGGCCCTCTCACTGAGACACTGAGTGCGTTAACAGGCTGCTCGTAATTATCCGAAAGTTCTTCCTGGTTACTGCAGGTAACAGTTTTCCATTAGTGGTCATCGATCCTGACCGCTTTCGGTAACGTGTAGAAAAAGGGTAAGAAAAAATCCTTTCACCATGAAGTTAAATATGCATGATCCCTGAGTACACAACAGGGCTTGTGTGGCTGCCAACCTGGGCTGGCATGGCCTGGAATCCTGGAATTGTTTTAGGCCTGGAAGGAGCTCAGAGATCATCTCATTCAGCGCTCCTTATTTTACTGATGGAAAAACAGGCCCAGAGAGGGACTGACTTACTCACAGGCACACAGGATGGGTTCCAAGGTCTGGGGACCACCTCTGGAACTCTGAGGAGCCCCCACAGCTGAGGCACGTTCTCAAAGTTTATGCGGGATCCCTAGGGGTGACCCAGGCCCCTCCCAGCCTCTCATCAGGATGCTGGAGTCAGAAACACCCAGGTGCAAGTCCTGGCCCCACAGCATCCTAGCTGTAGGACTTTGGGCAACTGATTTAACCTCTCTGGGCATTTCCTCATATGTAAAACAGAGAGAGTTTATGTCTACTCCTGGAGGTTGATGTGATGATTAAATTAGTTCAGCAAATATTTAAGCACTTACTGAAAGCTATGCCTGTTCTGAGCTCGGAGGAAGACAGCAGCGAAGCTCTCAGCAATGGGTATAAAGCACAGTGAAAGTGCTCACGAAGGGCTGGTCCCTGTTACAGCATCCTGTACACACTGCTTTCCGGCGGCAGCGCTACAAGCTCTGACCCTGGGGAGGCTCCTGAGGTACAGGTGGGGGATGGAGGACTGCAGAACACAGGGAGAATCTCCCCCATTCGAAGGGTCTACTGACCACAGGGTTCTGAACCCTGTGCAAAATATGGGGGATAGGCAGGGGATGTATTTCAGAGATGTCTGGGGACCCTCTCATTTCTTCCTCCCTCTTTACCACACTCAGTAGCCTGTCCTGAGCAAAACACCCAGAGTGCCCTCCTTCAGCCCAAAGGCGGCCGGTCTCAGAGCTGGACTGAGTCTGGAAGTGAGCCTCTAGAATACCCGAGGTGGCCGGGTCCCCTCCATGGGCATATCCCTTTGCAGATCGCAGACCAAATTCACAGCCAAGTTGTTCTGTGCCGGAGGCGGGGGAGCAGCAGCCTTCGCTCAGACAATGACATTAGGTCCAGCTCGTGAAGTGCAGGGACCATGCTCACATACTGCCCTGCTGCTCGCAGAGTTGGGGACCGACGCCAGAGAGGCAGAGCACTGGCCCAGGGTCACACAGTCAGCCAGAAGCCGAATCAGGGTTAATGCATGGTCAACTGATGCCCAAACCTGGCATTGTTTACCCGCGGTGCCCACTGCCTTCCACATGTGGACGCAGCGCAGAAAGAAGACACGAGGTCTGAGGTTGGCCACACAATGGATCTGAGTCGAGCCAGGGCGAGCGCCAGGTCTCCTGACTCTGAATCTGCGGTGCTTTCCGCTGCCCCACATCTGTGGGCAATTACAAGTCTCAGCTCTTCTTCCCGCAGAAGAGGGAGGGCTGCCGGAGCACCGCTGAAGGGAGGGTGTTGACCAGATGGCCTTCATTCAGGACCAAGCTAGGGCCAAGCAGACCTGGGAACAGGTCAGGCCTGACGCTGAACTTTCTGCGGCTGGAGGTGCTGGAGCCGGGAGAAGCTCTGTGGGTGGATGGAGACTCTCCCCTCTGACCAGGAGAGCGAGGGGGTTAAGTCATTGGATTCAGGCAGACCGTGGCCTAAATACCAACTCTACTGTGTGACCCTGTGAAAGTCACTTAGCTTCTCTAAGCCTTGGTTCCCTTGTCTGCAAAGCAGGGGGAGCAATACTGATCCCAAAGAACTGCTGTGGGGGTCACAAGGCATGTGCGACCCCCCTGGGCTCTGTGCCTGGCGGGGATCAGCACTTGGTGACAGTGACCAACAAGGTCCTCCCATCTCTGAGTGCTGTGGACTCAGGGCCCCACAGCTCGGAGGCAGGGGAGGACGGCATGACTTCAGATCTCACGAGAGGCCTCTGTGCACTTTGGGATCACAGATGCAGGCGGGGACACCCCTCCCTGTTTGACACAGAAAAACGCTGTCTGGAGGAACTGCATGATGTTCTGGAAGGGTGTCTGAGGGAAGACTTGAGAACAGAAGGTCTTCAGCCAGTCCCGCCTCCCTTTCACCAGCACATTTTCTCAGCCCCGTTGCAGGTAGGAGGAGTTTAGGGACAGAACACAAGATGGGGAAGCTCAGGGCCGGAAGGATCTCTGATGTACAAATAGAACACAGACAGGAAAAGGGCCAAGCGACAAGGCACCGGTGAGAAGGGCAAGGCGAGCACTTGGAAGACTAGAAGAACCTGGGAAGGCTGCCTGGAGGAGGTGGAGTGGGAAGGACCCTTGAAGGGAAAGTGCAGGGGATGTCCAGAGGCAAGACTGTGCAAATTTCTTCTGGGAATCCTGGGGTCTGACTGGGAGAAAAAGGAACACAAGGACCAAGTTTGGAGTGATGGGGCAGGGAGCTCACTGTCTACCAGCGCTCTGCTCCTCACTGGCTGTGTGGTGCAGAGTTGTTGCTGCTGTGAGCCTCGGTTCTCCACACGTAAGGGGGAGTAAAGTCCGTCCCTGCTTCTGGAGTGGCTGGTTAGCGGTACACAAGATCACACTCATAAAGCACTCCCCACGGTCCTGGCAGGCAGTGTGTCAGTCACTGGCAACATGGTTAGGAGCCTGGGCTTTCTACAGGCCTGGGAGAGTCACAGCAGGAACTGGGATCCGATTCATGTTTTAGGATAGAGCAGAGAAAGGGCGGAAGGAGGGAGATGACCAACCAGGAGGCCTGAGCAGCTAGCTGCCTGGGACCAGGGGGAAAAAAAGCCCAACAGCTGACCCCCCTTCTTTAAAGAAGGGCCCCCAGATCTGACCCTGGAGTCCCAGGCCCCCAACCCTCTCTGCATGAACATGGCCTGTGAAGCCCCGGCCCCTCTCCGAACTTTCCCAGCCACTGGGGGTTTGGAAGGACATCTTAGGAATCTGGAAAATTTGCAAATCCATTTAAATCCCCAGAGGTTGCCTGGCGGCTGACTGGCCTAAAGCCAGACAGATTCTTAGGGACCAGGCTTGGGCCCAGGGACAGGGCTATGCTATGGCTCTGAGGTCCTCTGTCCCCTCCTAGGTCCCCTTTCCTTGTGCCCTGCTTGCCATTTCCCAATTTCCTTCCCACTCCCCTCCCGCTCTCCCCGCCCCCAACAGGCACTGTTGAGCTTTGGAGGTCCCCAATGGGGATGGCACCCCAGAAACTCCTGGGGTTTGTTCGATGAGGACAGGGGTCAGCAGGCTTGAGGAGGCCTGGCCACCCTCCCCAGAAGCAGCCTAAGCAGGAGAGAGGAGGAAGCAGGTTCCTCCATCCCTGATGTGGCCCACAGCCTCCAGTCTCCTCCCATCTGGTTTTGTTATAAATATTTTCCATTTTTTGACTACTTGAGAAGGCACAGGCTGGGGTAAGGGGACAGGACAAGGAGTTGGGATTTCCCCTGTACACGCACTTACCTTGCTGCTGATGCCTTCTGGTGTGGTCAAGGTCCCGGGCTCTGGGCTGTCACCCCCTCCAGGAAGTCCTCCTCACTGCCCTATCTGATCACTGTTATCAGAAAGTCTTTGCTGGCCAGAAATGAGGAAGCAGCTGGATAGGAGGGCAGAAAGGATCGTTGTGGGCTCCCGGAGCCTCCGGAGAAGGGAGGGAGTGGGGGGCTGCAGGGGTGAGGAGTGGCCTCACGCCCAAAGCATCCTCGGGAAGAGCAGGGTAGCCAGGAGGGGCCGCCCTGGGTCTGGCTGTCTGTGCCGCTCCGCACAGGCTGCCGCCCGGCGGAGCTGGTCAGAGGGGCCTGGCTCTCTCCTTGCTGTCCTCCTCCTCTCCTGGTCCAAGTTGTTCACAGAGTGATCCTGGGTCCCAGACAGAATGGGCAGGACTGCGGGCTGCTGGCAGCCCCCGGAGCTCACACCACTGTGGGCTTCCCTGCTCCCCGCCCCCCCACTTTGGGGGAAAGGCTGCAGGGCGGCCTCTGATTGGCCCAGCTGGAGAAGGGGAGGGGGGGCGTGGAGCCGGGAGGGTGGACGCGTGCGTCTGTTTTCAATTTTAGTTTTTTCCCTCCTCTCTTTCTTTCTCCCAAGTTTCTTGTTTTTCTTCCTCTTTTCCCTCTGCTTGCTCCCTCCCGTCGCCTGCTCTCTCAGGATGTGAGGGGATGTTTAGAAATTCCACAGCCCACGCCAGCCGCTGAGTCACTTTTATTGAAGAGTGCCCCAGCCCCACTCGCCTGAAGCCTGTCTCGGGGGCAACCTTTCCTCGCCATGGCACCTGGGAGTGGGTTCCTCTCCTGCGCCTCAGTTTCTCCACATGTAAAGAAAGTTCTGATAACCTAATAGGGCTGATTCACCCAACATGCATTCACTGAACAAGCACGTTGGACACCTACTCGGTGCCAGGAGCTGTGCTGGGTGCTGGAGACACAGTCGTCAGGAGGTACAGTCTTGGACTCAGGGGTGCCCAGGCTGGTGGGAGAGAGACAGTGCACAGGCAGGTTCTCCGAGGGAGGGCAGGGGCTGGGAGTGCGGTTAGGGGCATCTAACTGAGGTCGAAAGGAGTCAGAGAGGGCTTCTGACAAGACGGGATTTGGAAGAGTCGGGAAGATCTTCCAAGATGATCAGTCACTTCTCAGACAAAGAAACCAGGGCCCAGGGTGAGCTGGTGCCAGGAAGGGAAAGTACTTGTCCAAGGTCGCCAGCATACTTCAGATTTCAAGACATTTCTTTCTATTATCTCAAAGCCCCCGGAGCCCCCGGAAAGGATTATTTCCCCATTTTATAGAGGAGGGAACTGAAGTCCAGAGGAGTGAAATGAGCTTCCCAAGCTCACACAGCAATGGCAGAACGGGAGCAAAATCAGGGCTGTGAGTGACACAGACTCCGGTGATCTGACCCCAGCGGGAGACACACTGCAGTGTAGACCGGGTCTCCTGCTAGGTTATCTCTTTCCCTGTCTCCTGCAGTTGCTCAACACGTATGTCCAAGTCCTCGTTATGTTCCACTTCCGTCCTCCCACTCTCCCTCCCCACCAGGGTCTCCTCCAGGACCCCGGAGGGGTCCTCATCCCCTCACTTCTCCAAACCTCCCCTCCTCAGATAAGATGTTTCTAGTTACAAATGCCTGGCCTTTACATGCCAAAGGGCATCGTTTAAAAAGGGCTTAGAGCCCTGGCCAGTTTGGCTCAGCAGTTGGAGCGTCGGCCTGCAGACCAGAGAGTCCCAGGTTCCGTTCCTGCTAGGGGCACGTACCAAAAAAAAATAAAAAGAGTTTAGAGAGTTGATTTGAGTCACCCCCGGTCCCCACTACTATATACAGGGGGAACTGAGTCCCAGAGAGGGGAAGAAAGTGTCCCAGGTCACACAAGCAGCGTCTGACTCTGTTCCTCTCTACCCCCTTCTTTTCCTGAGATTCCCTAGAGCCCTGGTCACAGGGTTGGGGGTGCTTGAGCTGGGGTTTTGTGCAAAGCACAGCAATTCACCTTGCAGTCATCTCTTGGCTTTGTCCCAGTGGAAACTGCCCAGCAGAGCATCTGGGCTGGGCCACACAGGGAGAGAGGGGTTCTCAGACTGACCCCAGGCCACGGGGTGGGGGCCAAGAGAGCCACCTGAGAGAGGAGGCCTGGCCCAGCTTTGTGGCAGCTGGGTCATGGGGGCATATGGGGCACTTTAAAGACCATAGGGTCAGCCCGCACAGGGATTTCTTGTGCCCAAAACTCCATCAGTCTTTACAGCCCCACCCCCCTGGCATTTGCCTTGGCCATTCACCTCCCAAGTCTTGGCCCATCTGCTGGGACCAGAATAGCTCAGGGCAGCAAGGAGGCACTTCAGTTCCTAGTCCCCTCAAAAGCTAGTCTGGGAGTCAGGAAACCTAGCTGTGGACTTGTTGCGTGGCCTTGGATAGGTACTTTGTTCCCTGAGCCTCAGTTTCCCCAGCTGTACATAGCAGGGAACTAACTCACTGTGCTGGTGGGCCCTTGGGATGCTCTGTCTGCAACTTCCTTAGAGTGGAACTCTGGCTAGGGAGAGGAGTCTAGTGGGCCCCAGGGCAAGGGGACAGCTGGGGGCCAGAGATGCAGCACAGAGGGGAGGGGGTGGCTGCTGGTGGTGGCTCCCCTGGGGAAGCTGGCGGCCGCCCGTTTCCGGCCAGCCCAGCCGTCCGGCTGGCCCATCTGGAATCGCTTAGCCCTATTGCCATTAACCCTTGGCAGGCACCAGGCTGTTACACCTCCTCTCAGCTGAGATGGGGCCGGGAGAGGCAGAGCCATGCGGAAGGCTGAGGACACGCTCTGAGGGCTGGACAGTTGAGGCAGAAGGGTCATGATTGACAGGGCAGGTTCCGAAGCCAGAGACAGAGCTGGGTTCGAATCCCAGCTCTGCAGTTACAAGCCGCACGATCTCAGGCAAGTCATTTAAACTCCTGAGCCTCAGTTTCCCCCTCTGGAAAATGGAGATGACTCTAGGATCGACTTGTAAGACTGCTGCAATATGTAATTTAAGGGCTTAGTGCAGTGTCTGGAAGTGTTATGATCGAAATAGTGGGTTTGCCTCATTCTGGCTGCAGCTCATCACTGTGTGCCCCTGGACTGAGCTCTCCTTCTCTGGGCCTCAGTTTCCCCTGTGCACTCTGAAGGGTGGGCAGTGGGCAGTGCATGTGGCGGTACAGCATGGACATTCTGGGGTGGTTTGCATGGCCCCCAGCACAACTGTGGACAGGAGGAGTCATGAGCAATCTCCTACCTGCCCAGATGCTGGGAGCCCGGTCCAACCTCAAACAGCACTGTCTTGGGGGACGCTGGGCTGGGGGTGGGCAGGCAGAGTGTGGTGCAGAGGGAGAGAGGAGCCTTGGGGTTCAGCACTTCCCCTCCCCACTGCATGGTGGCGCTCAAGGTGTGCGCTCAAGGTGAGCTCTGATGTCGGCAGTTCCAACTCAGCTCTGCCTCTTCCTAGCTGTGGGACCCTGGACAAATGACATGATCCGAGCTGTCCCAGCCTGGTGTTTTCAACTGTGAAGTGGAGACATGTGTGCCTACCTCACAGAGTTCGGAGGCCTGACCGAGGGATGCACAGGAGGCATTTTATGCAAGGGATAGAGAGGAGCAAGAAAGATGCACAAAAGGTGACAGATTCTCAGCTGTCTCTGGGAACGACTGTCACAGAAGTCCTCCTCAGGACGGGAGAAGTTGGGAGGGAAGCTGGGCCAAGCCCTGTTCTAGAGCTGGGATGACTGAGGCCCAGTGACCGAAAGTGACTGTGCAAGACCAGGACTGGAGACGAGGTTTTTGTCTAGACTCTCAGGCCCCTGCTCTTCCCTGAAGGAGGGAACCAAGCTGAACTGACCCCCACCCCTGGACACCCCCCAGCCCCCCATACTTGTCAGAGCCGGAAGCCACAGTTCTCAGTGGGGGGGCAAGGGGTCCGGAAGGGGAGCCTGAGTGGGAGAATTCCCAGAAGGCCGGCTCAGCACTCACTCAGGCAGGGCCAGCGGCCACCACATCTGGCTCTCCCACGCTCCCAGTGCCGTGTCCCCCCACCCCCAGGCTCCTCCTAGGCCAAGGAAGCAGCACACATGTCCCAGGCATCAGTACAGTCATCTTGGATATCAGGGCCTGAAGAGTCCTAAGAGGGAATCCATTACACAAGCATGGGAACTGGGGCTCAGAGAACAAAGGGGACTTGCCTGAAGGTAGTAGAGAGAGAAAGGGCCTGGAATGCAGGACTCCTGACCCCCAGCCCTGTGTCCATCCACCCTGTATATCCTGAGCAGGTAGGTCCTGCACCTGCAGCTGAGGTCTAACAGGGTCACAGGATGCAAGGGCTTCAAGACCCTGACTACCTCCGTCTCTCCCTAACCTCCAGCCAGCCTCAGCCCCAGGGCCCCAAGGAACAAGGGGTGTCCTTCTGTGTGTCCTACACAGGTGGTTCAAGGTCATCAGAATAGCAGGACCCTCAGAGGCCACAGATCTACCCCCAACAGACACACTGGGTCCCAGAGAAGACCAGAACCTGCTTGAAGGCACACAGCAAGTCTAGAATGGGGCTTCTGACTGACTCCCAGACCATCCTGTTCCTTGCACCATTCCTCCATGCAACCAGTTAATTGAGCACCTACTGTATGCCCTGCCCTCCTAGAGCTCATAAGCTAACACCTAGGAAACCACAAATTAATAATATATAATCGCAATGCATGACGAAAGAGAAAGAATAACGGCTGGATTGGTGGAGGTTCTTATTTAGGTAGATTAAGGCTTCCCTGGGGAAGATAAATTTCAACTGAGACCTGAAGTTAAGAGGACACTCATAATGCAGGGACAGGAACAGTGTTCTAGGTAGGGGAAACAGCATGTGCAAAAGCGTAGAGGCCAGAAAGAGCCTGGAGTGCTTGAACAGAAAGCAAAGAATGGTTGAGGCCCAGAGAGAGGAAGTGGTGAGGTATGTAGGCTAGAGAGGTAGTCAGGGGCCAGGTGTCAGGGCCTTGTGGGCCCAGAGGAGTCTGACTTTTATCCTGGGGGTCAGGAGGGGCTACGGCAGGATTTTAAACAGGAGACTAATGATCAGGTCTTCGAGGTGCACTGTGGAGGATGGGCTCATGGGGGCAGGAGGTGAGGTGGGAGAATAGTATGGACGCTGTTGTAGTCGAGCATGGGCTGACTGCTTACTTCCATCCATCTGAGAGGCTGCAGGAATGCACCTGACAGGGAGCTGGGACTTCTGACTCATCTTGTGACCTTCCTCTCCTCCCCTGGCTTCTCTATCTCCTCTGAACTGCGGGTCAGACACAGTGCTTCTTCCGATAAGGACATTTTGCGCCCCCTGCTCCCTGCGTGGCAGTGTACTAGGGGACTGGCTCCCTCCTGCAAGGCACTGTTTCCCCACAGGGAAGGGAAGGAGAATCAGCAAGACCGGGTCTTGATTGAGGTCGGGCAGCCAGTGAGCCCTCCAG